GCATTGTTTAATTGTTCAGCTGTTAATTGTTATCAATTAAAATTTATAAATACTTGGTTTATATATTTTAAAAAGAATGAAATGTTTGTTTCCATTAAAATATACAAACAATAATTTATGGTGATAATCAAAAACACACTGCTAGGTATGTTAAAACATTTTTTAATTGAACAACATTAAATCATATGCCTATCATTAATTATTGTTAATTGTTATTTTTTTTTTTTTAATATGGTATCAAACTAACAATGTTTAAATACACTGTTTCCAGTCTATACAAAGTAGTTTAGTTCATGGTTTTTATGTTCTGACAATTATAAATATATACATAACACCTATGTATGTAATATTAACTGCTGACTGATTCAATAATATTAACACACACACAATTATTGTATGGCCAACACACATAATGTATAAGTAAGTTAGTTTACCGGTAAACGGTCAATTGGTCCCCGGACATTTTGTCCCCGCATAAAAATGCCATATGCGGACAATCGGTCCCCGGTCAATATTTTTTGAATAGGTATACGAGTAGGTATAAATATATCTCAGACAGCATTTTGTAATGATTAGGGCTCGATTTAAATGCCTTTTCAAAAAATGCATTATTTATTAGATAAATTCAAATTATTATTAAAAAATGAAACTATATTTGAACTATTTTGGAATTTAAATGATCGACGGGTGTCTTAAAAATACATTTCTGCCTTGTCTAATTTAAAACCTGATTACGCTTGATGTTAAGTTCAAAATGAAAATAATTTATATTACATAGTACTATAACTATTATGTAAAATGTAAAAAAATGTCCCAAAGTTTTTTATATTATTATTATTATTATTATTATTATAATAAGTAACAAATTTATACTAGTATTATTCGTTATTATAAATTATAATGTTATACCTAATATTTTTAGACAAAAAAAATATCACAACAAGGTACGAATCTTGATGGATTATAAACTTTTGAGTATACTCATCTATACTACTATACTATCATTATAATACTAACTATTTTTAGTAAACTGTAATAAAATATTTCTCTTGATAAATAATAATCTTTTATTGCTGACAGACCAATTTACCTTTGTCAGTTATCGCTGTACATCCGTCTAGTTCGTACCTATTGGTTATATTAATGGATTGTTTAATAAAATGTTTTGAAACCAGCCACGGGAAAATAAAATTGGGATACCAAATTTGTTTGTTTGTTTTCAAATACCTGTTAAAAATGGTAAACTTTGGGTGTATGTTCATAAAAACCTATGCAATGGTAGTATTACTACCGACAATGATTTAAAACATGTAATTAAATTTAAGTCACATAATCACGAAACTAATCCGGTTGTTTTGGAAGCGGAACGAACCATTTATAAAATGAAACAAGACGCTAAGGAAAATTTAAATTTACCATCTAGAATTTATGCTAAATATGTAACAAATTTATCTTAAGAAGGTAGGAAAAAATACTTATTGAAAATAATTTAAAACGATCTTTAAGACGAATTCGTAGTAATAATTACCCGAAATTAAAATCAATAAATTAATTA